TCTTCATCTTGCAGGAAGGGGCTGTTTGATGCCACTATTCCAATTTATTATTGTGAGATAAATAATAGTTCTTATAATTGAAACTGAGCAGGAAGACATTGGACACAGTTTCCAAAGGTAAGAACTGCCTAAGTCTGTCTTCAACTGATGCAGTGGCTGCTTTATTTAGACATCTTCAAATCCCGATTCCATTCATATAGTCCCATCCTGAGCAGTGAAGGCTTTCACCCCATATATTGCACTGCACAATTGACTCGCTGCCTTGTGGGGATGGGGAAAGTCTGCTCTCCTCTGGTGCTTCATATATCATCTGGTGCCAGAGGCAGTGAGAATACAACATTGATGGACCAATGGACTGATCCAACATGGCAAATCCTATATTCCTGTTTGGGTACAAATGAATAACCTCATATACTTCTGCACACATTGAACAAAATGATGAAAGGAAGGGGGAAAAAAACAAATGGAATTTCCTGATCATTGCATTCCACTTTATTTCTCTGTACTAACTTTGTAAGTGAATTCAATGTCTGTAGAAGGCAATTGATGGCTCTAAAAGAGAATGAAAGAAAAATGTTAAAGCCCCAAACCACAATTTGAGCACTGGTAGGTTTCTTTACCCTTGCTGAAATTTTTAGCTGGAATTCTCACCTCATAGCCTTCAAAGGCTATCTCATCATTTAAGGGCCAAGAGATGGACTCCTCAGGACGGAGATGCAGCCCTAGGTTTACTGCCTTTTATTTAGTAGAGTGGGAACAGGCTGTAAAGACAAAGATGTATGAGAAAGAAAAGCAGTGGTCTCTCAGATTGGCTGGAAATTTCTCAAATGTTTCGTATCTTACCCAAGGGATCACCTTCCATGCCAATCATTTCACCTTCCTCACAGTCTACATAGATTGAATTTGTATCTTTCTGGAGAGTCCTTCCATTTGCTGTATCTGCCTCTTTCATTCCTGCACTATTTGTTTTTTGTTCTGTAGGAGTTTTCCCTAAATAACCCAGATATTCTGGGTCAGATGTGAGGTGTACCCCAAAAGCTCATGTGAGAAATAATGCAAGGAAATTTAGAGGTGAAATGATTGACTTATGAGAGCTTTAACCTAATCAGTGCATTGACAAGCTCATAGGGATTAACTGGGTGATAACTGTCAGCAGGTGGGGATTGACTTGGGAAGCAGGTAACTGGGGATGTCATTGGGGTTTATATTTTATTCCTGGTGAGTGGAGACTCTCTCTCTCTCTCTCTCTCTCTCTCCTTCCTGATTGACATATTCTGAGCCACTTTTCTCCTCCATAACCTTCTTCCATGATGTTCTGCTTTACCTTAGGCCAGAGCAACAAAGCTACGTATCTATGGATGGATACCTCTGAAATTGTGGGTGCCGAATAAACTTTCTGCCTCAAAAATTGTTCTTGTCAGGTGTTTTGATCACAGAAATAAAAAAGCTGACTAAAATTCCAGATACTCATATTCCTCACTATGAGTTTTTAAAGAGTATGTTATGTAATTCTTGATTATCATCATATTGCTCTGAACTTTAAATGTGTTTGGCACAAATAAATGATTTTTTTGATTGAATAAGTTCATTAAAGGATGGTCTACATTTGTTTTTCCACCTACAGTTTTCAGCAGTACCTTTTACAAAGGTTCACAATTAATATCTGTGAATAAAAATTATTGTTATCCTCAAAGTAAGTACATATAGGCCATGTGTTTAAAACTGTGTGTTTGAATGTGCCCAGATAATTTTCTCTGCATATTTCTATCTTAAGTATCCAATAAAAGAAATAAAGGGAAAATAATTTGATTATCCTAATACTTCTAGACTGTCTAGAATAACTGAGGCAGAGTCTAAATTTCCAAGTGCCAACATCCACTGAGCACTACCCTATCCTCCTGTTATTTTGTTTTCTCCTCTCCTATTGAGCATCAAGGGCCAGAAGATCTGATCCCACCTTGATTATATCCAGGTAGGGAAAGTTGGAAAGAGAATAAACCTATCTTTCATAACCCAATCAGCCAATTTAAAAGATCAGAGCATATGAGCTACGAAAGCCAGCAAGAAAGGGCAGGACAAATGTGCAAAGAGGCCCAGTGGGCATAAACAATATGTGCAATACAAGGAGGCAGTACTGAGAAAAAAGCTCAAAAATAATTGAATGTGAACACTATACATAAATCTAGATGAGATTTGAGCTGTGACCTTGAGGTGAAAAGTCTCCTTAAACGGCAACCAAAGCTTTCTATTCTAAAGGGATTAAATCTCTGAAAATCATTCTCTTTCTTTGCATTCATGTTTCACACTTTGTAATGCTCACATTAAAAGGGCAGATATACCAGCGGTTTGGTGTTTACTCTCTTGTGTTTCTTTTCTTCCCAGATAGCGAGTATCTGCTTTACTGCAGATCAGAGTGGGTGAGCCCTTTTCACCTTCTGATTGTGGTTTGTAATCATCAATACCAGGTTAGCAAGCTTTCTAATGGAAATTACCAGTGCATGGAGGAATAATAAAGCAATCTACTCAAGTGGGAGACATATAGACTCTGGAGCCTAAGTCATCTTTGCAAGGGCTCACAATAATTATGAGAGCAAATTTAATAAACTTTGCATGAAACTTGTAACAGAATACCTCACAATCCTATTGTTACCATTGCATTGCAAACTAGACAATAACAGGAGAGAACTAAAATATTCAAAGACAAGCTGGGTAAGGCTTAGTCTCACCGCTCTTCTGAGTCTCAGAGTAAAGTTTGAATACAACTTCGGAGACAGGGTTGCTTGTGGCATTCATCAATTTGATTCTTTCTTTTTTACCAGACAAGTGGCACTGATCACAGAGCCCAAACTTATTTAGAAGAACAGCTACCACAACACACAGTGGTTTCTTAGTTCAGAGCTTGAAAGGATTAAAACTGGATTAGGAGAAGGAAAGATGTTTTCCCAAGGGACAATATTTATAGGAAGGAGAAAACATTTTTTTCACCCTGTCTACAAGAATAACAAGGAGGAAAAATGAATCTGAGCAATGATTCTTAACATGGCAAGATGTGGGAAGGACTTAAAGAAATACACCTTTCTAATTCTCAGTCAATTTATGTGTGTATGCCTAAGTATCCAATTAGCAGGCACAGATGCCATTTTGCATTAAAAAATATAGGGTTTTACACTGCAAACCAGCTGTGCCCATAAATTTCACCAGTCACTTTACAGAGGTCTACCAAGAATTTGGACCTGAATATTATGGAGTCTGTTATCCTCAGTATTGAATAATCACAGACTGATTGACATATTTTGTCCAGCAAAATATTTTTCTCAAAGAAGAGTAGAAAATCGTAACAAATGTACAATGGTGAGCCTCGGAAAAATCAATTAAAATAGATTAATTGTAAGTCATAAAAAGCCTATATTCTACCATAGTTTTGTTTGGTAGAATATTTTACAATGATTGGAATGTTCTATACTCCACTCTCCATTTTGGTAGTCACTTGCCAAATGTGGAAATCAAACACTTAAAATGTGACTAAAGCAACTAGGGGACATTATTCTTGATTTTATTTAATTTTAACTAGTTTAAATGTGAATAGTAGTCATAATTATATTAAATAGCACAATTTAAATCATCCATACCATTAATATGTCAATAAATCAGCAATGAAAGTCTTAAGTCAAATAGACATCTACTATTTACTGGTCATACAAATTTATAGAAGTTAACTTTTTTTTTCATTATGTAAGTGCCAATGCTAATTTTTTTAACTGACTGGTTAAATGTACAATATATTTAAATTATTAAGCCTCTTGCCTGAATAAAGTAGGTCTTTTAACCAATATTGTTGCTTTTTCTATCTTCTTTATTTTCTTACTTTTTCCTTTTCTTCCCTACTAGATAGGGAGGAAGAATCTCCTGCTCCCAAAATAGCATATCAACAATATTCCAATAAGGGATATTGCCATACCTCTCACTTGAGCAGATGCTTTGTTCTAAATCAGAATTTTACATAAAAGTTGTCACAAAACAGCCTAATCTACAGGCGACATTAGAAAATACTAGGCACTCTGGCAATGTATTCTATACCTATTTTTCCTGCTGTTTTTCCCCTATGCATTGAAATATAATTAAAAAAATATTTGAAGGTTTCATGAGAGAAAAATGATTGCCATTTGATCAGGAAGACTAGGTTGTGATAAAACCATAGGATTAAATAAACAGAAGGGAGTAGATACAGGGAGAAGGAACAAAATGAAAAAAGATTCAAAGTAGTAAGTTAATAAGATATAATTTATTGTACATGGATAGTCTTGTTATAGTTAACAAATGTTAAAAAAAATTAATACTCAATGTTTACGAACTTATTTGTTGCAAAGAAATAATTAAGCGCTCTATGAAGATGTGATTAAAAACAAAATATAAAAACTGCTCAACTCACTCTTCCTTCTCGGCACCCCTCCTTCTTCCTGCTTGTTGGCTACTTGGAAAGGAGGTGAATCAAAATGGGCTGGTTCTTATCAGGTTTCCTTTTTATATTCACCTACATCCCAAGGTGTTCCTTCTTCTCCTTTGTGTTTTTCCTATTTATTCTCTTTTCATTTCAATATCATTCTTATTTGTTTACCTGTTGACTACTCTATTTCCTCATTTGTTTCCCCTGTGTATGAACAACATAATTTACTGAGATGGTGTAAAAGTGCTACTTAGCTCTTGGGTATTTGGAAAAAGGCTTAAGTAGTTGGTTCATATATGAAGTTTACATTTCCAGTATGAATCCATAGGGAAGGTAATCATCAAAATTACCCATATAACTAAAAGCTACCAGAAAATCATTGATCTGTTTTGGATGCAAATGACTCTTCACAATGTAAGAATATTCATTTTTGCTCCCTTTGAGGACCTGAATTATCTTAATGGACAATTTAGGTTGTGTACCTATAGAGAGAAAAAGGAACCCAAACATGAAAACTAAAACAAATTATCTGAATGAATGCATTTAGTATACTCACGTATAAATGTAGGAGCTTTAAACCATTGGGAACAGGTAAAAATTTAAATGATAAGGTATTTATATGGGGTGGGCGCGGCTGCGAGGGCTGGAGGCGCTGCGGCGCGAGTGCGTCACGCCGGCGGAGGGCACGGTGGGCTGCGGCCGACCCGCGACGAGGAGCCCGGCGTCGCGGGCTAGGGGCAGAAGGCGCCGTACCCGCCCGGGCAGCGCGGCCGGGAATCGGCCGGGGGTCGCCAGCGAGCAGCCGCAGGCTCCATTCATTCGCGCGGCTCCGCCTCCTTGCTCGGGCACCGGCGGCTCGCAGGACGCGTCAGAGAGAGCAGAAAGAGATTGCTGAACGAGGTTGAGACCTTCCTGAAATTTGGATAGTTGTAGCAGTCTGTTCAGTTACTTCATTTTGGTCATACTCAACCTCAGCTCAGAGTGGAGAGGATGGCATTCCCTGTGGATTTACTGAATAATTGCAGTCATGAGGAATTGGAAAATGCTGCTGAAGATTACATGTCAGATTTAAGGTGTGGGGACCCTGAAAATCCAGAGTATTTTTCTTTTCTCAATATTACG